TGAACTCTTCAAAAGACATAGCTTTTATCATTCCCAGTAAAATGGGGACTTTGGGTGCAGGGAATAAGTATGAACAGTTACCTCTGGAGAACTGGCTTAAGGCATCCTCTTAGGCAATGCTTGGATTGCAGGAGTCAGCGTAGACTGGTAGAAATCAGTCCTCACCTCTGTTGGTTGGTGTGTAACACAGATGATTTGACATGACCATTACAAGTGAAGTCTGTGGTTCGCAAAACCACAAATTTCAGTACATTGCGTACAGTACTAAACTATTGACTCAGGAAGGGGAAACCAAGGGATTATGTGCAAGTCTGGCATCCCAAGGACACCCAAGGACTACATTCAATAAATTAAGGTTCTCAGTGATTTGAAGTAACCTATTTCTGACAAATGGATGGGTCAGTTGGAGCAGGGAGGGAGGGGGTTGATTATAGGAGGAGAGAGGAGCTAGAACAGAATAGATACCCCTAAAAAGATATAAAACTTTCCCATGACTATTTCCATCATTTGCCCTGTCTGTCATGGGCTAGCTAACTAGACTGATCCAGATTAATCTGCTGAACTGGTTTTAGGAAATCCCTATGGAATGAGGTATAAATAGATAGAAAAACACTGTTATTAAAGAAATATCATTTTTCTTAGCCTTGAAATATTAGGGTTTTTAAATTTTTTTAAAGAACATATCTTTATTGATTTCGGAGAGAGGAAAGGAGGGGGAGAGAGAGAGATAGAAACATCAATGATGAGAGTCATTGATCGGCTGCCTAGCCCACAACCCGGGCCTGTGCCCTGACCGGGAATCAAACCCCAATCTCCTGGATCTTAGGTTGATGCTCAACCACTGAGCCATGCCCAGCTGGGCAGATTTTTTAATTTTTAAACTAACTAAACATTCTTTTAAAAATCATTCAATACATTAGTCAGAACCAAATGAAAAAATATCAAATTGACATTAGAATGGAGCAATTTTATCTACTACCCAGAATCCCTCTCCACCCTCCAGAACAGACTGACCACTACTTTCCAGACCTAGGAAGGCTCTCGTAAGCACAGGATAAACAGTAAGCAGATACTGTTGGGTGGGGCATGCTGCACCCTGTACAAGGTTACCCAACTGAGTGAGAACAAATGGAGGCTGAAATTCATTCTTCAACTCTCCTGATGAAGCTCCAACATCCTCGAGAAAGAATTTTTCTCATTGTTCCACTGGAGTGGACACTTCTTTGCAAATTGTCTGCCCCCAGGAGGCATGTGTTTCTAATCAGCACAAAGGTATTATATGAGCAAATAGTGGCCTTGAAAATTAACTAGAGATCTTGGAGCTATTGGATGTTCTGTGAAGGCTGGAGCCATAACTGTCTTTGTCTGGCTTTGGCCTTGAAGCCAAACAAACATTGACCTAAGCTATCTTTTCCTTCCAGCTGAAACATTGTAAAGACAGTAGTTTGGCTGTAAATTCCAACGGAAGAAGAGTAACTTCCATTTTCTGAGGGCCCACTAAGACTCAGGAATCTGCTGAAACTTTATCCCACTAATAAGTGGAAGAGACAAGAGAGTACTCACATTTATTAGGGTAACATGACAAAATCGGGGGAAAAACATGGGCTTCGTAGTCAGACAGAAGTCAGAATCTTTGTTCTGACATTTACCAGCTGGCAACTTGTAGTAGTTAACTTCTGTGGGTTTCAGAGGATTCGCTAAGAAAACAGACGTAAAGAGCTGAGCACAGTGCTGCCTGGCACATAGAAGGCATTCAGTCTTTATGTCTTTTTCTGCTACTACCCTGAGTCCAAAGTTAATTCACATTATTAACACCCTTGGCCCTGACATCTTGCTCAGTAGAGCATAACAATGAGTCTACTAGACAGAATATGGGAGCAAGAGTCCAGAGATGTGAGTCCCAATGCCAGACACATCCCCTGTTACAGTATGTTGGGTAAGTTACTCCCATCTCCTGATTCCATCAATAAAACAAGAGAACATGCTTAGCTCTGATGCAGAAAGGAAAGAGCAGGAAATTACATTTTTGTGCCACGAATATGCACTATGCTTGGCCCTTTTACATACCTTACATATTCTAAATCAGCACTGCCCCATAGAACTTTCTGTAATGGTAGGAATATTCTGTATCTATTGGTATCTAATACAGTACTGTCGGGAACGGGAAGAATTCCCCACTTCTACCCTTCTTTAGTTCTTATAGCTGGACCAATAATAAAATAATAAAACTGACACAAGACTAGATTAACAGGAGAAACAATTTAATACATGCACATAGGAGAATCACACTATGATGCTCAGATCATAAAATGAGGCTCAAAAAAATGATCAAACTAGGCATCATTTTACTTTGTTCGACAAAGAAACAATAAATTTGTGAACAATTGACAGGACAAAAAGTTAGTGCTCGTTAGAGAGGAATCTAAGCAAGGTTTGGGCTTGGGTAGTAAATTACTAAAAGCTTTACAAGGTTTGTTTATATAGGCTTTTTGACTCGGGATTTTATAACTCTTGTAATAAGGTTGTCTCTTAGTCCTCCAGAGAAGGGAGGGCACCTATCACATGGAGATTTATTTCCTGCTTTTAGAGAAACAGAGGAGAGTCAGAGAGCTCCTCCCACTTCTGATGCTTCTCAAGTGATTTTAATTCTAAATAATCAATATGCCATTGTAGGATATCTTGGGGCGGCCCACCTTGGCCCCTGACAGTACTAATACTAGACACAAGTGGCTACTGAGCCCTTGAAATGTGGTTAGTACAACTGAGGAACTGAATTTTTAATTTTAATTAATTCAAATTGTTAAGTAATTACATGTCTAGTGGTTGCCGTATTTGAACACTGCAGCTCTAAGATTATAAAGCGGGAATAATTATTTCCACTTTATAGTGAGACTAAGGATTGGGAAAGTTTAAAAAACTTACTGAAAGTCACATAAATACATAGTAAGTAACTAAACCAGATTCAAAACCAAGCAGTAGAAAGTTTAGCAGGGTAGTACTGCCAGATATACCAGGAATTATCCAGGCTCCACTACAAGTTATATGACCAAAGAAAAATAATTACAGTCTCTAGAACTCACTTTCATCACCTATAAAATGATGGTAATTGTCACCTAATTTACAGGCCCATTGTTGGGATTAATGGATGTAGAGACATATAGAGTGTGGCCCATAACAGGCTTTCAATAACTATGCTTCCTCGCCACCCTGAATCCCACCCCACACACAAAGAAGAACTTCAGACATAAACTAAAAAACAATAGCTGCAGGGTAGAGAGAGCATTTGGGAAATATTAAAGCAAGAAGGGAAGCACGAGCTTTTATGTGATACCTTATTATAGAATGGAGATGAGGGAAGGTATGAAATCATCAAAATATTTCCATTTATTTAGTTTGCTTTCCTGCTCTCTTCTTAACACTCTAGTCAACATTAGCCAAAGCAGGGAACAAGATACCAGTAATGTATTTTGATGCCCAGAACAACAAGCTATTATGGCTGAACAACAGAGTACTGTCAAGGGCTTGTGCTCTAAGAGCAGGTAAAATTCATATCCTGGTTCCCATACTTGTATGCACTGAGAAAATAATTTGAAACCTCTACACATTAGTTTTTAATCTGTGTAACAGGACTGATAATATGCATGTTGTCTCAATAAAACATACAGATCATCTATTATTTTGCTTTACATTCTGTAGCTCCCTCTAGTGGAGCATACAAGCACTGCATCTCTGCCCTCCAAAGCAGTGGTTCTTTCAGTGCGCATTAGAATCACCAGAAAATAACAAATCCAAGCTCTACCCCTAGAATTTCGTTTGAGGTGGGGTCTAAGAATCTGAATCTGACAACTTCCTGAAAGGTAATAATGTGTCTGGAAAACACACGTTGAGAACCACTGTTCTAAATCCCAATTCCTTCGTGTGTGTGTGTGTGTGTGTGTGTGTGTGTACCCATGCATGTGCACACATGTGATTGATAACAAAGAGATATAACTTTTGCTGTTCGATTTTGATTTATTAGTACCCATCTAATAAGGATTTTGTGAGTAATAAAAAGAATATCCATGTAAAGGATATGTTTTTTTCTCATTTTGTTACCCGGATTTTTCTCTCCAGAATAATAGCTAATATCTTTGGGAGCTAGGCTTCCTATTAACAAACTAAAGATCACAGAACAGAAATCATTTGCCCAAGGCCTCAAAGCTAGTAAGTGGTGCAATGGGGTTTAAAATGAGGTCTCTGACTCCTAAGACATAATAAAGTTTAGCACTATAGAAAATTGGGCGTAAACACACATATCTAATAAAAATTTTCAAGTGGAAAAGAGCAGTTTTCAATACCAGGGTCCAAGTTCTTATCTGTCTTTACTGACCAAACGATGGGGGGGGGGGG